CTTCATCTGTAGTACATCCCCCCGAATCTTGTCAAGTCGATCGTCAAGTCCATCTAAGAATGTATAAACTCTATCTTCTTGCATAATAGAGTTATACTTCTTTATATCAGTATCACAGACCATCAGATTTGGTCGGCGAAAATCGATCTCTTTCCATAAGCCTTAGAGATTGGTATAATACGTCTCTATGGGTTTTCCTCTCTGTCTAAGCCTTGTTACTCTCCTTTTAAGGTCATATACTTGTGATGTGTCGATGCCATCAAAGAATGTTGTAGCAATATTATCCCAAACTGCCTTTGCCGTTGGGAATCTGATAAAATTACCGACTAATCTTGGGTCCATAGAATTAATCAGCCATCCCTTTACCACTGCATTCTCGGTCTTCCATTTTCTAAAAACAGGATCTATTTCTTGGGGCTGTGGAAGATCCCCATTTATGTATCCCAACTTGTCTTTGCCTGAGATATACATCTCAAAAATTTGGGACCATAGTGCATAGTTGGTACCATCCAGTTTGATTCCAATCTATGCAGTAGACTAGTGCCTGGGGATCTGGTTCTGTGTTTGATTCTGGTTCAGCATCTGTGACATTCTAGATGTTAGGTCTGTAAGAAACGAGTTCTCTTCTTTGGGTTGTTCTGTCATAGTGGTAGGTGTTTCGATCATTCCTAGTCCCTCATGTTTTCCTTTCTGTTTTCTATACTATTTTCCAGAAATTCTATGGGTCCTAAAATCTCTTTTGCTCTGATACCATGTTGAAAAGAATGGTATTTCATTCATATATGTTTTTAATACAAAGAGGAAGCTATATATTCTATACACGAAACTATTTTTGGAAGAAAGAAACTAATTTATTTTTAGGTTAGAATATTTTATGTCCTACAATCATTGAACAAATAAAGCTAAATGCAGCAGGTAGAATATTGGTTGATTCCTGAAATCACTCTAAGAGCTTTTCTTGCAACTCACGTCAACAGTCATTTTGGAAAAGACATCTGCTCTGATATGGGTTAAGCAAAGACTAAAAGGGCCTGAGTAGACCATGGCTCGAAGCATTAAAAGGAAATAGGAAAATTCACCATATGAAATGCTATACTCAACCCTATTACCCTTAGAAGGCCTCGAACTATTTATCAATCTTTTCCCCTAAAGACCCTCAGGCCAATCTTATGACATTAGTTAAGACAATAATCATGTATAGTTTAATATCTTAGATCACGTATCAACCTAACATGGAACAACTGTTTTTGTGCAATAGGGGTGTGAAGACAAAGTCTACATACTGTTCAAGATATTATAATTTTCTCGATTTTAAGGTACATTCAAAATCACATGTAATTAAAGCTTCGTTGTAAATTTTATTGCACAATTTGTACATCGACATAAATAATAAAAAACCAAACTCAAAAAGGACATCAACTACACATAACGAGAAAAAAGTCAGTTTTAAATGCAATGTATATAGAACTTTTTACTCTTGATTTCAACCTTGGTGACCTTTTTGTCATTGCTAATTGCTTTAGGCTCCCTTCTCTTTTCCTCAGCCAATATAGGCACAGTAATTAACACCCTATTCTCCAAAGTGGAAATTACACAAAATCCTACTTTTTAAGATCCATATTCAAAAATCAGATCACGAATTTCATTTTTCAAAAATAAGATATTTCATTTTTAAATATTAAATATTAATTATATAATTTTCATTCTAAACCCTAATTAATTTCATTCCAAACTGGCAAACATTTTCTACATTTTCTCTCTTCTCTTCGTCTTCTCTTTCCTCACTCTCTTCTCTCCTTCTTCTCATTGCCTTTTCTCTTCGTCACCACAGGCGCCGACACAGCAAACATTGTCGCCACAACCATAGCAGCGAGCGACGGTGTCATCCTTCGTCTTCTCTCTCCTCACTATCTTCTCTTCTCTCCGTCATCACCAGAGGCGACACAGTAAATGGTTGGGCTAAGTCAAAGAAGGCACCAAGGCAAACCATCTATCCATGAATGTGAACTCGTTCGCTAACTCAGAATAAACAGGTACCAGATTTGGTTTGAACCCACTGATAACCTTTTTGGACGTTCCCTGAACCCCCATAGCCTCTCCTGCTGCACAAAATCGTTCATTGACGCTGGGTTTGCCGACGTGTCATTTGTCCCTAATATTTGTTCGCGGATAGCTTGAATTGAGTGACCCGGGTCCGAATCAACATTGTCGCTACAATTTGGCGTGAGCGGCGCGGCGCTGCGCTGCTGCAGCGGTCGTTGTGTAATGCCCATGAATGATGAGGGATCTGAGAAAAATTTGGCTACAATTTGGTGTCGGGGTTTTGTTGGTTGTGTGAGTTATATTGATTGTGATATGGGCAAAATTTGGGGTGAGTTTTGTTAATTATGTGCAGTTGTTGGTGGTAGCGGCGACGATGGCGGTGCTCTGAGGTGGTGGCAATTTTCATAAGTTGTGTGGTACTGTTGATTTTTTTTGGTGATTTTTGTTTGTTGCGTTTGTTATTGGTGGTGGTTGTGGTGGTGGTGGTGGTGGTAGTGGTTGCTGGTTGTTGGGTGATCATGCAGTGTGAGTGGTGGCGCTGTTGTTGTGGACTGATTTGTTGGTTTTTTTGGACGACGGTGACAACGATTTTGTTGGATATTGTTGTTGGTGGTGGTGGATGTTGGAAGTGGTGGTGCCTGGTGGATTGGGGTAGGCAGTGAAGTTAAGAGGGTTTGTGACCAATTATTTAAAATTGTGACCATTTAATTTGGGTATTCTGTAACTAAAAAATAACATGTGACCAATAAATTGTGAACATATAATATGTGACCTAAAAATTTGAATTGTGACTTATGAAATTTGTGATTTGTAATCGATAAATGAATTTGTAACCAAATTGTATACAATTGCGACTAAATTGTGAAGTATAAATTTTTTTATTTGTGATCGATGAACAAATTGTAACTTATAGAATTTCTGAATTGAGAACGTAAAATAATTTGTGACCTATAAAATTTTTGATTTGTGACCGTAAAATAATTTGTAACTTATAAAATTTCTGATTTGTGACAGATGAACAAATTGTGACACGTAAATTTTTTGAATTGTTATCATAAAATAATTTGTAACTTTTCAATTTTTTATTTGTGACCGATGAACAAATTGTGACTTATAAAATTTTTTGAATTGAGATCGTAAAATAATTTGACACATAAAATTTATTATTTGTGACCAATTATATGAAATTTGTGACCAAATTATATGAAATTGTGACCTTAATATATTTAATTAATAAAATATATGTTTAATTAATTAATTTATAAATAAAATTTAAAAAAATCTGAGATTTGAAATTTTAAACTTTAAAAAATTTGAAATTTGAAATTTTAAGTCTTGACGTCTTAAATTTGAAATGGGTAAAACTAAAGCTCTTAGTTTTGAAATTTTCCCGAGAAGGGAATGGTGAGCAGGGGCGGACACAGTTAAGGTTGGGCTTTGGGCCGCCCCAATTTTTTCAGCAATCCAATACAAAAAGGCCAAAGACAAGTGGGCCAATTATTTGGCCCAAAATGTATGATACAAGCCCTGTAAATTAGCTCCCATTACATTATTCCACAACTCCCATCAACAGAGAATCCGCCACTGCCTCAGCCACTGCATCCACGCCGGCCACTGCATACGCGTACCGCGCACCGTCGTCCCCTGAACCACAGAACCAGGCCCAGGTGCCCAGCATCCAGCGTTCATCAAGTGGGTGAGTTTTCTATAATTTCAATAGGTATTCATCTGGCATCTGCTAAGTGCTATAGTGCTATTGGCTGTGGAGTGTAGATTATATGCAATGGGTATTGTTGGGTAACTACCTCGCTTATTAGTTATTTATAAGGGATGAAATAGGAAGTGAATAACCACAACTAAATGGCTTCTGTAATCTTGCAACTGGCGGGGGTGTGGTTAGGGACTATGAGGGTAATGTATTTATTTGTCTTATATGAATTCTATGGAGCATGTTCTTGCTGTTGTTGCCTGGTGTCGGTTGGGGAAAATTTTGAAACCCAGTAGATTTCTAATCGTAATTTTCTTATATGATGTTATCATAGCTTTGTCAAGTGGAATTCATAGCAGAGCAACCATTTAAGATATATAGGTTATGAAATTTATCTTTTGCATTTCGGAGCAATTGTATATGATCCATAGGATAAAAGAGTCAGGAACCTGTCTCCAGGATAAAGAACACCCAAAAAAAGGAAGCACCCAGTTTTTACAGCCAGCATTATGGGTGTAAACATTGACTAACACACACATCTGAATCCAAGAATTTGATTAATTACAAGCCGAGACGAGCCGGTCGAACGACGACACGCACGTGTAGGATTTGGATCGAATCCAATAGAATATAGGTATCCCCTTTGGACCGAATCCAATAGGATATAGGCAAATCTAATAGGATATAGGTATCTCCTTTGGACCAAATTCAATAGCATATAAGTATCCCCTTTCAAAGACTATTTTCACTATTTTATAGTTTCAAGTGGATTACTTTAACATTAAATATTTTATTCAATTCTAAATGGTTTTCAATAATACTTCATGATACCAGCCGTGCAAATTAGCTCCCATTACATTATTCCATAACTCCCATCAACAGAGAATTCGCCACTGCCTCAGCCCCTGTATCCATGCCGGCCACTGCATCCACGCACCGCTCACCGTCGTCCCCTGAACCACAGAACCAGGCCCAGGCGCCCAGCATCCAGCGTTCATCAAGTAGGTGAGTTTTCTATAATTTCAATTGGTATTCATCTGGCATCTGCTAAGTGCTATAGCGCTATGGGCTGTAGAGTGTAGAGTATATGCAATGGGTATTGTTGGGTAACTACCTCGCTTATTAGTTATTTACAGGAGATGAAATAGGAAGTGAATAACCACAACTAAATGGCTGCTGTAATCTTGCAACTGGCGGGGGTGTGATTAGGGACTATGAGGGTAATGTTTTTATTTGTCTTACATGAATTCTATGGAGCATGTTCTTGCTGTTGTTGCCTGTGCCGGTTGGGGAAAATTTTGAAACCAAGTGTTGGAGGAAAATTTTGAAACCCAGTTGGAGGAAATACGGTATTGGAGCAAGTGCTGTGCCTGTTTGGGGAAAATTTTGAAACCAAGTAAATTGTTGCAAATGCAATCCGCGGTCTTTTGTCCCAGTTGGGCCTCGAATTTTCAAACAGAAAGTTTGCAAGAGAGCCATTGCTCATGAATTGAACTAGATTTTTGTGATTAGTCCTGCTAATTGAGGTTACTTCCGCTTTAAATTCTTCCTCAATCCTCACCTTCTGCAGCCATCTTATGCAGCTTTTTCACAGCAACTACGGTTTCAGCATTGGAAAAATTTCCTAGGTCCGCCCCTAATGGTGAGTGGGGAGTGTTTGAGGATTTTGAAAGGTTCTTTTTGTGATGGGAGCTGCCGTATGGGACTAAGGCCTGTGCTTGGATTGACAGTAAAACAAGACTCAAAATAATGCATTTCCTGTTATGATCCATTGTGGTGATGTACGTATTGAGTTTCTGGAAACAATGCGGCTCGTCGTCTGTGCTATTCACTAATCAAGTGAATTCATTTAATGAATGCTTATAACTGCTTATAAGTTGGTCAAACCTCATGCTGGAATATATGGATCCCTTATTAATGCTAGCTGGATTAATATCCATAGTTAGCGCATTCATAGCATTCATCATAGTTAGCAGTTCGAGCTCCGTATCAAGGTTACGATCGATATTGTCACTAGCATCAATATTGTCTGCTACAAATAAGCTCTCTGAGCTTGAACCAGAAATTCCGGGAATCATGTTTTGCTTTTTAACATTTATTCATGGGAAGGTTGAGAGAATTACGACATTGATGAAAAAAGAAGCGGTAAAAGAAACAACGGGATGGAACATGGTGGTAAGATACACAAGTTTATTTTAGGGAACCAATCCCATGAAGGACTAGTTGAAATCCAGTGGGTATTAGCAGAAATGAAAAAGAAATGAAAACTTCTGAATACGACGCTGATAAGGGCAGTGTGCTGAGAGACATTGAGGAAGATAGTGAAAAATTGGCTGTTGCTTTTGCTCTTATTGTTACTGAGCCGGGAGCTATCACAAGGGTGGTGAAGCTAATGATTTGTGGGGATTGCCGTACAGAAACAAAGATGATGTCTAAATTGGAGGATAGGGAGATTATTGCAAGGATAACAACAGATTACTGGTTTCAATGACAATTTGTGTTCTTGCAAAGACTACTGGTAGCATGTAGAATCATTCATTCAATTTTCTTCTTTACAATATACTGAATCTTAGTCATTTCGAATCTATTTAGGTCAAAAACTATCGATTTGAATCTCTTTAAAGGTCAAGAACGAAAATGCAACGAGTACACAAACTGGTGGCTGTTGTTGCAAAGCAAGAGGATGATTATCAAATGTTGTTACCACTGGTCAGAATTTTAGGCAGATTATTAGAGATCCAAAAAGAAGAGTTCGGTCTGGACTCCATGCCCTGGTGTTTCTGAGATTAGTTGGATAGGACCTTAAATATTTGAACATCAAGATAGTTTAGATTGCCCCAAATTTATCTGAATTATGATACAGCAACTTTATTAAAGATGGGTGGTGAAAGTATAAGAAAAAACCAAATCCCTCACCCATCAAAGTCCAAAGACATTGAGTGCAGCAATGCATACTCCTTGCAACAGCATAAACAAGCTTTGACAAGCTGGACTAAATTAAAATTATGAAGATGTTGAAAAACGTCTTTCCAACTGCAATTCTTTTCCACATAGATCCCTAAAATACAAATTCAAAAGCATATTAAAAGAAAGAGAGAAATGTCGAAGTTGTTCATAAAACCCAGATCCCATCAGCAGACACTCTACTTGATGAACTTAACTTGTGCCACTGATTCAACAATTTCTAACTTTGATATGTTATACTAAAAGTTACAAACTTCTAATCCCCCACTTGACTGATGTTGACATTCAATTTCGAAATGACAAGGTTAAACTTTAACCCTCTTGCTACTGCAACTAGGGCACTTGTACTGCTTGATATGCTCCGCTTTTGCAGGTGTAATCTTCACGCACTTCCCATGGAACCATCTCTCACAGATATCACAACAAATCCAGAATTCATCATTACCATAGTTATCCCCACAAGCTCCACACAGTGTTGCTCCCTGTTCATCATCTTCTTCCTCCTCCCCACTGTCATCCTCTTCTTTGGGTACAGGCATCTTCACTGCCTTGTGCTGGGGTTCAGATTGCCGAGATTGCTAAAATATGCAAAAACAGACCATGCATAAGTAACCATATGTATAAAGTTTGAAGACAAGGTTATATAGAATATAACTTACCATTCTTACACTAGATTTGTTCTTGCCATTGTTATTGGGAGCAGTAGCTTGGTCCTTTGCCTGCTTAACAGGTCCTGTCACAACTTCAAATACAGTTGGTACATCATTAATCATCTGGAAAAGCCTTTTCCTGCAAAACCAATTCCCAGCTAAAGTCAGGAATCAAATAGAGTTTAAAATGTCATATCCGCAACAATTATAGATACTAGCGCAATAAGCGAAGACATTAGCCTTGGAAAACTAGCAAAGAAAACCTAAGATACATGCGATTTTGAAGATTGTCTCAAAGATCGCAAAAAGCAGTATCATAAAAGGTCCATGAAAATTCTGAACAAAGAACCAATTCATAAGATAAATCGTAATTTTCTCATATGATGTTATCATAGCTTTGTCAAGTGGAATTCATAGCAGAGCAACCATTTAAGATATATAGGTTATGAAATTTATCTTTTGCATTTCGGAGCAATTATATATGATCCATAGGATAAAAGAGTCAGGAACCTGTCTCCAGGATAAAGAACACCCAAAAAAAGGAAGCACCAGTTTTTACAGCCAGCATTATGGGTGTAAAACATTAACTAACACACACATCTGGTTGTTGATTGATAGAATTAACATTAATAATTTTGAATTTATACAATCATTTGAATTAAAAATCCCGGTCAGATATACCATGAACATTGAGCTAAATCAGTCACTGCTGTATAACTTCCATATGTTTTCATGTACATAAATACATGCTTCCCCACAGAAATTGTGCACACCAGACTAATAACCTAAGCTAACGAAAGCAACCTTGCATCCTTTTTATCAGTCTTTGCGGCTGAATGAACTTTATTTGTGCATAGAAACTACCTATAAGCACTCGCTATGAAAGAGGAAAAAAAGTTGGGGAAGGAAACTAGCATCTGTTTTAGCTGTCTTCGTGGTTGAAAGAATTTTATTTGTTCTTTAAAACTCCCTTTCAAGTACTCTTTAACACTTGGAGTAAGTTCACTATGGAAAAAGGAAAAGAATTGGGGAAGCAAACCCGTATCTGTGCAATCAGTCTTTGTAAATGAACTAACTTTATTCATGCTAAAAATAACCTTATTATAAAACAGGAAAACACAGATCTTAATAAATCACGGTAGATAGCCAAGCATTACAAAAGCTAGCAAATGATTTAAGGGAAAAAAAGGTGATAGTACCAAGCACTATATTCTAGGGTTTAAATTCATCAAATTTCTTTAGTTTTGATGATACTAGAACAAGTCTTGTATATTCATCCAATTCTAAGGAATGTTGTTTCCAAGTGTATGGTCAAAAGGGTCTAAGGATTGGTACCTACCCCGCCACCCAACAAAAACAAAAACATATATGTATTCAGCCACCCTTCCTGGATAAGTGACAGATCTTAAAAAGACACCTGGAAAGGTTAAATAAAACAAACACAATCTGTATATCCCAAACCATTGAAAATAAAATGTTGTTAAATTAGGTCATTCCCAAAGAACAATAAAACACAAATGACAGCATGTTTAAATAATTCCTCTTCATATGGGTACACATTTGGAAAGTTTTAAGTTCAAAGATGGATGTGAATGCCTAACGAAAACATGCACCAACGGAAAGCAGTCTCATTATTGACTCATCATCAGATGTGGAGCAAGGACAAAAACTTCAAAGTTGCAATTGGCAGATGTACAGTGGGAAGGGAGACAAAATTGAAGAATTTGTAGTCTGGAGCATAATTATTAGAAAACTTTAAGTGAAGAAACATTCACAATAATGCAATCCAGAAACCTTATTTTAACATTAGAAGAGAAATGTTTTATTGCAAGCTAGATAAATACTGAGTGGAGCAGGGATCCATTGACATGGAGATAACACCAGCTGTAGATACGCACAACTACAAAGTCAACCAGAAGAAGCATAAGTACGCAAATAGTAATACTCATCAGCTTATCAAATTAAACCAAAAATTTAGAAGTAGCTATAACTCTAAACAACTAATTACGAGAGAGAGAGAGGGACGGAGGGAGGATTCCAACGTAAACTCCAGCTGAAACGGGAGAAGAAAAAAGAGGGACAAACACTATCTTGCATGAAATAAGAAGTAAAGGACTAAATTTGCAGATATCATTAACAATGGCATGATTGAAATCATAGTTGTAATCGGTATTGTTCAATTAGCTTGTCGAAATGTCAAGCAGATGGTAGAAATCCATTATCTTAAAATGGTATTTCTTAAATATATAGCACCACGACATGTAAAATAAGTTCACAAATAGATCAGGTGTTTCAAAAATATAATTACCTTTCACTCTTGCCAAACCCAAAGCGCGCACCAAAGTAAAATGCAACAGAAAGCAGCCAGGAGTCACTGTGAACTGCAACAAGTGATAACCAGTCCTTTTCTTGCATCCCATCTCTAGCAAAGTTTATTCCCAGGGCTGGTTCGGGAAGTTCAGGAGGCACCTCCTCAGCAGGCAAGTTGACTTCCCATGTCTCATTTGGAAGCCCGTAGAGACAGAGGTTCTCCTTTTCTGTAAACATCAAGGCAGTCAAAATAGCAACCAACTCCATATAGTCTGAATTTGCTTCATAAGAAGCATATTTTGAAACCGTTCAACAGTGATAATAAGAAAATTGTAACCATAAGACGCATAAGTAACCATATGTATAAAGTTTGAAGACAAGGTTATATAGAATAGAACTTACCATTCTTCCACTAGATTTGTTCTTGCCATTGTTATTGGGAGCAGTAGCTTGGTCCTTTGCCTGCTGAACAGGTCCTGTCACAACTTCAAATACAGTTGGTACATCATTAATCATCTGGAAAAGCCTTTTCCTGCAAAACCAATTCCCAGCTAAAGTCAGGAATCAAATAGTGTTTAAAATGTCATATCCGCAACAATTAGAGATACTAGCGCAATAAGCGAAGACATTAGCCTTGGAAAACTAGCAAAGAAAACCTAAGATACATGCGATTTTGACGATTGTCTCAAAGATCGCAAAAAGCAGCATCATAAAAGGTCCATGAAAATTCTGAACAAAGAACCAATTCATAAGCTAAAATGATATATGTCCTGATCCATTAGATGATAAAAATACTGACCATATCCTATACCATTTGGCAGAGGAGAAAATTGTGAGTAGATTTCTAATCGTAATTTTCTTGTATGATGTTATCATAGCTTTGTCAAGTGGAATTCATAGCAGAGCAACCATTTAAGATATATAGGTTATGAAATTTATCTTTTGCATTTCGGAGCAATTACATATGATCCATAGGATAAAAGAGTCAGGAACCTGTCTCCAGGATAAAGAACACCCAAAAAAAGGAAGCACCCAGTTTTTACAGCTGGCATTATGGGTGTAAACATTGACTAACACGCCCAGTTTTTACAGCCAGCAATATAATTATCCTTTTTAGTTATTCTTGGATTAGATCTATAATTGTAAATTTTTTGTGGTGTATTTATTGAAAATATGTTTTAATTGTAGTGTGATTATAATGTGGTGTAGGAAATAAAATTTGTTGTGGTAATATAATTATCCTTCCTCAAAACTTCTTCTGTTTTCATAGTCTCCATCCAAACCCACAATTGCAAACATGGTGCGAAGCTTAAAGAACCATAAAAAGGCAAAACGCAAAAACAAGGTAAAAATTGAATCTTTTCTATTCTAAATATAATACATACTATTTTGCTGAATTTGATTTTATTTTTGTTGCAATTGATGTTGCTTGATCAACAACTTTTCTTTTCTTTGCAGGTGTCAAAAAAAGGCGAAGGGTCATCGTCAGATGCCATGCCATCACTGCCGGCGAAGGTATGGCAACCGGGTGTGGACAAGTTGGAGGAAGGAGAGGAGCTACAGTGCGACCCTTCTGCCTACAATTCTCTCCATGCCTTTAACATTGGCTGGCCCTGCTTGAGGTTAGTGTTCCTGTCTATTTCTGCTGGCCATATGTATGTGCTAAAACTACATGCTCATGATTATTGCTTATCACTATTCAAGCAAGAAAAAGACGCTAGCGCGTATAGTCAAGCTCAGTCTTGTCAATTACTGTGTACCAACAGACTCTAAGACTTGAGTAGATGCGGTTACAAAAATGCACAGATGCAAGTGCTTAAAAAATTGAAAATTCTAAATGTATGCTGATGTGTGTTCGGAAAATCTAAGCCTATTGGTATCCTTAAGAGTATTTCATTGAGAAGTTTCTCAATTTTTGTCTCTTAATTTACTTTGGCTGAAAAGTTGTAGTGAAAATTGTAATATATATTCGATCTGTATCTGTGTATGCCTGTGCAAGCTGCTAGGCGTACAGCTTCTGGCATCCTAGTTTTATCATAATTTTTCCGGCTGGGTTTGACATTTATGGTAAAAAGTAGGTTGAAGGGAATATATCTGTGGATTTTCTTATGCATAAATTTATTATTTTGCTGCAACGTGCCTATATCCGTGATTTAGTTATTATCAGTATCCTTGATGAATTTTCTCTCTCTTTTTTTTTGGCTAGAGAGTTTATGTAATTGATCTTTTATTTGGATTTTGGCAGCTTTGATGTACTACGTGATTCACTCGGGTTGGTGCGAACAGAGTTTCCCCATACTGTATACTGTGTTGCAGGAACACAAGTGAGTGTTGATCTTTACCCATATGTGGATGATATTTGGGCTATTTCTTCGATTGTGTAAAATTTTATGTTGACCAAATGAAAAGGAACACACTTGATAATTTATCAGTGCATTTCCAAATAGAAGATAGCTGATTATGATTGACAATTAGACTTCCTTGTTTTGGCACTTGTCATTGTATATTAATTTTTCTTTTTAAGTATTGATATTTATCAATCTGACAATTTTCATTATGCAGGCAGAGAAAGCTTCATGGAACTCCATTGGAATATTTAAACTATCAAACATTTCAGGAAAGAGACGTGACTTAATGCCGAAAAAGGCAAATACTGATGGTTCTGACATGGAGAGTGATAGCAGTGACAGCGACAATGATGATGAAGAGGGGGATGGCATGTCTGGGACACCTATTTTGCAGGTACAGTTTTATTTTGTATATGAGATTTTTTAGTTGTATGCAGTCATCTGCATTATTCTATTTTCACTTAATTTTTTTCTTTCTTGATGAATCTACAGCTACGCAAGGTTTTCCATGAAGGATGTGTTAACAGAATACGTGCAATGCCGCAAAACTCCCATATATGTGCTTCTTGGGCAGATACTGGTCATGTTCAGGTAAACACTTTATTGATGGAAGCTTGATGGTTTTATTCACAGCAATGGCTGATTGGCTTCAATTTACCAGTTTACAATATAAAAAATCCAAAAACTTGAATTATTAGGTCTTATTTATGTCATGCCAGTGGCCTGTTAAACGTAATGGCATCTTCAAACCTCACCCAGTAGGATAGACAATTGCACCTGTAGTCGCTATCCAACTTTGGTATCAACTATCAAAAAGTTGTAGACAGAGTCTTAGTTGCGAGTTAATAAGTTGCTCATATTTATCGTAATCCAGCAACGTGGTATGCAGGTTTGGGTGTGACAGACAGTTTTGATAACTTAAGTTGAATATGCAACTTCAATTTAAAAAATGAAGTACTAATAACTTGTAACTTTCCTGTATGTTTTGGGAAATGAAAATGCTATCATTGATAATTTGTCTAATAATAAGCAGAATAATCTGTATTTTGTTGGTTGTCACTCATATGGGTAGACTACATGATGAAACTTGGCATTGTAATCACTGTTATTTGGATCTCATATTCAGTTCACGCGGTTAATTGAAAATATATTTTTTTACTGATGCTGTATGAAACTGGATCTTGAAGTAATAATTGATCCTATCCATCTCAGTATTCTACTAGAACTAATATACTTATTAAGGCTTGGTAAATGCTCAGCATTTTGAAGTTCTTTCTCGTACAAATTGATGCTTTGCAGGTATGGGACTTCAGTTCGCATTTAAGTGCTTTGGCAGAATCCGATACTGAAGTTAGCCATGGAGGATCTGCTCTGTCGAATCAACCTCCCCTGGTTAATTTTGGCGGGCATAAGGAAGAAGGCTATGCTATAGACTGGAGTCCTCTTGTTGCTGGAAGGCTTGTGTCAGGTACTGTACGATAGATTTTTTTAATAACGAGCTATCTAGTTTTGGCAGTTCTTGAAATATTTAATAAAATAAATTTTCTTATTGTTTATTTTGCTTTCATTTTATAGGGGATTGCAAGAATAATATTCATTTATGGGAGCCAGCTTCTGGTTCAACATGGAATATAGATAGTAATCCCTTTGTTGGACATACTGCTAGTGTTGAAGATTTGCAGGTACATTGCAGGACAATGATGATTTTGTTATAGCACCTGATTCTCAAAATGATGATTTTGTTACTTTCTATGCAGTGGAGTCCTACCGAACCTTTTGTGTTTGCCTCGTGCTCTGTGGATGGAAATATTGCAATTTGGGATAGTCGTCTGGGGAAGTCTCCTGCAGCTTCAATTAAGGCACATAAAGCAGATGTAAATGTCATAACATGGAACAGGTGTTTAAACATGATCTATTACTCAATGCTACCCTAGTAACTTTTATTATCTCTCTTATGCCGTTATTTTTTCACTAGGCTCGCAAGTTGTATGCTAGCATCTGGTAGTGATGATGGGACATTTTCCATCCGAGATCTTAGACTGCTCAAGGTATTCAGTCTAATATTGGACATTTCTAGATAGAAGTTTTTTCTATTTCTATTTTTTATTTCTTATGGCACTTTGCATGAAATATGACAATCAGCTATCACAGTTGGTTGTCGCCAATGAATTGTAGTTATTTTAGAACTTCATTCAGTAGTTATGTAGTTATTTGAGAACAAAAAAGAAAAAAATGCAGTATAATATGAGCATATTTTCACGTTGGATTAATATGGGAATTGTTGGTATTTTCTTACTTTTTGCCCTGTTTCTGCTGCTCAGGAAGGAGATGCTGTAGTGGCGCATTTTGAATACCATAAACATCCGATTACATCCATTGAGTGGAGTCCACATGAAGCCTCCACCTTGGCTGTATCTTCGGCAGATAATCAACTAACGTGAGAATAGATCTACTGATGATGTAATTCTGAGTTTTTGCCCATAGTGACTTTTTAGAGAATGTGATTAATAAGTGGGAAATTTTTTGAATTTTACGTGCAAAATATTTTATTCTGTAAATGTATGGTTGAAAATTAAAGAGTTTTGAAATAATGGTTGTCAAATAAGGGCTTTATTAGTTCCATCTCTAACTTACATTTCAATTTCTACTATTTCCACATTTTCAGAATATGGGACCTTTCTCTAGAGAGGGATGAGGAAGAAGAGACTGAATTCAAAGCCAAAACAAAAGAGCAAGTGAATGCCCCATCAGATTTGCCTCCACAACTTCTCTTTGTTCATCAGGTGAGAATTCTTAAGGCCTGTTTGGTACAAATTAAAATTAGATTTTAATCTAAGTCAAAGTCAAATAATCAATTTAACCACATTTTTTATGGATCCCGCAGCTTTTCAACTATACATTTCAAAAACTTCTATCACAATCTACTAAAAATCTAATTTCAATCTCCACCAAACACCCTCTTAAACTTATTAGTAGGTCTCGGTAAAAAAATCCAAAAATCGACCAAATCGGTCGAATTGACTTAGGTCGGTTTGGGTTGGTTTGAAATGACAATCGGGTCGGTTAATATTTAACCACTACTACGTCGGGTCGGGTTGGTCATGGGGTTAATCGACCCAACTGATGGTTAATCGACCCAACCTAAATTGAATAATTAAATATGGTGGACTACCTTGACTTGTCTGAAATTGTCCATATGTCCACAAAAGTATCGAGTTATGAAATTAATATTTTTAATTTATAGGACTTTTATTTGCAAGTAGTTCTTTGTTTCCAATTCCAAAATTGTTGATTCTTTTGAATCGTTGTTCTTATTGCACTTTTAACTAATCTATATATAAACTTTATCACTGTATGCCTAAATGCTATCTCGTTATCTTGTTTTCAACATTTGTTATGTGTGAGTAAAGTGTTTATCAAATGCTTAGCTTATGAAGTGAACATGAACTTTGTGTGTTATTTTCTGCTGAAATTTGATATTTCAATTTCGATGAAGCTCACTATGATTCTTACTTTAGATCCAAGATAATTTTTTTTTTAATTCAATGTGGACTAAATGTGCAAATCGACTAACAAAACCGAACCAAACCAAATGGATTTTGTTTGGATCGGTTTGGTTTGGTTTAAGAGCTCGAGTGGTTTTGTTTGGGTTGAAATTCAACCAAATCGACTAATTTGGTTTTGGTTTTGATTTCGGGTTGAGATCGAAACTGACCCAC